GGATGGATGGATGGATGGATGGATCCAGAATTTTGCTATACTAATTCCAAAATACAGAAACAACAATTACTTTATAACTTGACATAGCTAAGTATTATTAACTGTTATTAGGTATAAATAAATTGTTCGTCTAAACTGCTACTACTTAAGAAACTAATTGATGAAGTACATATGACATATTTCTAAGCTTTTGTTCTGATACCTCTGCTGCCTGAATATCATTGCTTTGTGTTTGATGTTGCACAATGTTTTGCTCTAGTTCTCCTCGTGAGGTTCTCCTAAAATGTAGCTACTACTCTTCTAGCTGTCATGGCTCCAAATAGACAATCTGATATTTCCAGATGTGTTCTCAGAGCTTTGACTGCTGGAAGCATGGCCTGTTTCATTACAGCATGCATTGCTGGTAAATCCTTCATAGGCCTGTTGCGATAAACGATATATCAATTAATCGCACAATAAATTAAACCTATCGACCTCATTTTAATTATCCGCTTTATCGTCTCTTCCTGTCTTTTTTTCTTTCTGTTGATGACACTGAATGAAAAAAGGCTGAACTCCGGTGCTCTTCCTTAGTGTAATGTCCAGCTCACACTACAAGAGTTGTTGGCGGACTGTCGGCCCATTTTCAAAACCTGAGAGACCACCATTAGCCGACAGAAATCCTAGGTATAACGGTTCAATCGGGTTTGATCGTGCCGTGTGGTGTCCAGCCACATGGGCACAAAATAATGGCTACAAGTCCAGTTAACTAATTTTAAAATCGGGCATTAATTAATGCTTTACTAGAATCTACCTGTGATGCATGTGGCTAGAGTCAGCTAAACTCCTGACTGAATGAAAATCATTATAACCTATTTATGTCACGTTAACGAAGAAAACCTACCAAGCTGCGGAAGCAATTTGGCTCCAACTCCTCTCCTTGTCATTTCTATATTCTATGCACGAAATGTTGAATAAATATTAATGTTGTTTCCACATATCATCTCCGATGTCCACTGGACTTCGGGTTGTGCCGTGTCAGCTGTTTGGGATTCCCCTCCGTAATTTCCCCTTAGAAAGCAGGAGGAGAATCCGGCTTTCTGATTGGCTACCTGTCACATTCAGCGTTAAGCTCCCAGTCGGGGAAAACCTCTGATTTAGATCGGAGCGGCCACGACGATCTACCGTAACTCACCACACACTGCAGGATGATCGGTTACGAAATCACCAGCGACAATCTTAGATTGGCCAACGTTCTAAGATTGTCATAAGGGGAAAATAGGGGCAAAAAAGATTGTGTAGTGTGAACTATTGCATTAGGTAGTCGGATGTGCCCATCTTCTCTATTTAAATCTAGTGATTACTGAAGGGCAATATAGTATACAGACTTTATAATCTGCACTCTTTTTGGTTGAATACAGTATTTATTTCCACTTTGGCTTCATGTTGTTTAGTTTTTAAGTAAGTTTTTTGTTAATGGAGACTGAGAATCAATTTTATTTTTGTTTTTGATTGTTTTGTTTATTTAGTTTATCAGTTGCAGTGTTATGTGTTCTTTTGAAAATAAAGTGTATCTATCTATGGCAGGAAATCGCATGCATTATTAGTCAATATTATCGTTTATCGCAATAACTTTTTAGACAATTAATCGCTCAGCAAAATTTGTTATTGTGACAGGCCCTAATCCTTCATTCACTTCCTAAAAATGGTTCCATTCAGATAACTTTCTCTAGCAGTAGGGTGACACCTAGTGGTAAATTTAATCATCATCCTCAAATTCTCAACTTGTTTTAAGTGTAGGTTGTTTTTTAGCTGTTGTCAGAGGGATTTTTGTGTCTCACCCGATCTAATGTTGCTCAAAAGCAGCAAGACTGTAAATGAATTGTGACACTCAGACCTTTGCACACATTTTAAATGGCGTTGTAACTTTTGCGTCTTGTCAAGGAATTTGTGTAAACCCACTAAAAACATTGACCTCCAAGTTAGTCATTAATTACAAATAATCTTTTACTGCCTGTTTTTTCCCTGGCTCTCTATTTATGTCATTAAAAAAAAAATCAAATTATTTTTAGTTACAAACAAATTTAACAGTTTTTTTATGTGCAATATGTTCTCTCTTTTTTTTTTTTTTTTTTTTTTTCTTTTTTACCACAAACTATTTCATCTAGGTATGCTGTTTATTCCTGATTGCCAACACTTTCTGAGCTCAAACAACAACACCAACCTAACAAACAGCAGCAAACAACTGCTGGACTGCTGCTCTCAGCTGTATAACAGGTATGTGGATGTGTTTGAAACAACTATTTTCTACTTTCTTTTTTTTTTTACTTTAGATTTCATGAACACAAATAATATTTTAAGCATCTCTCTGCAGAATTAAAGAACCCTTTAGATTGAGATGATGTTTTATTGTAAGGAATGTGTCTAGATTTCAGTGTGATGGTGCACAAGCCGTGGAATGTGACAGTCGGAGGAGGAGTCACAGAGAGCAGTTTGTGGGGCTGCTGTGCACTAACTCCACCCCAAAGATTCAACTGCAGCTTCACAGTTTGATTTTTTTTTTTTTTTTTTTTTTTTTTTTTTTTTTTACTGGTGCATTTCAAACATCTTTTTGGACAAATCATTACCACATATATCTATGAATATTTTTTAGCTTACAATACTACGTTTTTATAAAAAAATAAAGAATGAAAAATGTTTTGTATCAATTAATTCAATTGACTAATTTATTTTTTTAATATGACAGTTATAAAATAAGAGGACTAAATTAATTTTTTTATTTGATTTATATATTTCATTAGTGATGCTTTAAATATTATTGGTAATATTAAAGATGATGCACACATTAAGAATGTTTTAGTGGACAATTTTTAAATTTCACCCACACTTTATTGTGTTATTGTTCTTGTTTTAGGGTAAGAAGTAGTTGTAGTATTTTTGCTGTTGTTGATTTAAAAGAAAGAGTCTATTTTAAAATTAATCATCCTTATTATATTCACTATAGGCCTTTGTTAACTTCTGGGCAGAATATTACAATAATATGGTACAGAAAATAGGGATTATTTTTGGCATTGTCTGTTATTCCTCTTGTTTATCATACATAAACACCATAATATTTAAATCTGTGGAGACTCCACACAGAAAAATCAGCAGTTAGAAAGTTTTGTTTGACTTAAGTTTTGTAGAGCTTAGTGTTTAGCTAATCTGCCCTGTAAACCCTCTGTAGTGACTATTTATCCCATTAAAACCTAGAGGTTTGCACAAAGGTAATGTTGGACATATGAAATCAAGAAATGAGGACCATCCTCCCTCCATTAAAAGGAATGCAAAAGCAAAACAGACTGCAAATGAGCCAACAGACCTATCTCAAAACAAATCCTCTTTTAGGGGGCCCTAGTAAGCCAAGATGGAGGAAAAACTGATATCTTAGAGCTCCTGCAGGTTTAACATTTTTGTTTAAAAAACTACAAATTCTTAATAATTGTGACCTAAATCGGCTAAATAAAAGCTTTATTTAGCTTAAAGAATTTGGTTCTAGCCGAAATTTCTAAATAAATAAATGGCGGATAAACTTTGTAAATTCAAGTACGACGGTAGCTCACCAAAGCTAACGGCTAACACCAGGTCCACGAGGCAGCGTACTCCAGAAGATGCTATTTTCAATAGCGACCGAACCGCTTATCCCCGAACACGGAAGCTGACGTGCCTATAGGGTTCATAACATCACCATATAAATTTGTAGGGTTTTTTTTTTCTTCCTTGTGTTTGGATAGTATTTACAAGGTCCACTATATGAACTTACATTTAAAAAGTTTCTCTCAATCGCTTTGGTAGATTTCTCGAATCATCCTCAACATCTGCAAAACAGTTAGTTCACTTCTCAAAACAATGTGGAGTAAAGCAAAGCACCATGAGTTACACAAAAAAGCCAGTCTATTTCTCAAAATCCTCAGTTCACCTCTCAAAAATAAAACCAGTCAATTTTACACATTACCTCAGAGTGACAAGTCCTTGTTTCATTGTGTGCAGATAAAACCGTCAAATTTATTACTCATGTTGTCTATATAACAGTGTACTCTGACAGCTCTGTTCTAATGTAAACTATGGCTAACGTTATTAGTTGTTTTAAAACTACAGCTACATGTATGCAGTTCTGTAGGAGTTGCAGTCAAGTGTCTTTTCTTAGTGAATCCAACAGTTTCCTTTTTGACCAGTAGATGTCACTGTTGACATTTAGTTCCTCCTCCACAAAATTGACACCTGAGACCACTTGTTAAAGCTCGCTGGTCTGATAGGCAGGCCAATTTTTTAGGAATCCAGCTCATTACCACTAGCCAATGTGATAAAATCAGTCTGATCAGGGGAACAAAGAGAAGGGTTTCGAGAGTGCAGTCATAGAAACGCCAAATGACAGTGTCTTCATTAAAAACGGCACAAGCAAAAGGTCAGATGGCTCCCTTCTCGGTGGGCAGGAGGTGCGTTCACATGTGTGAATTTCACACACCCACAGAGAGGGAACATTAAAATCAGCCATCAGAGACTGACACATAGGGCATTTTCGGTCTCAGTGTTTCCATGTGTCCTCTGTGAATAAAAAAAGAACTCATCGTGTTAATATTTAATTACGAGAGGGGTGGAAAAAACTGAATTTTAAACATGAGATATATGGAAAACACCATACTTTTGTATTGTTTTGCTGATTTGTTTGTCGCTGGCACATTTAATCCTATGATCCATATAAATTTATAATCAAATCACTGCAAACCATTTTCAGAGCATTTGGTTTTTGACACCAGTTGAGCTCCTTCTGTTTGAATTGGAAGAGCACATGACTGAATATTTCTCTACCAAAACAGACAGCTCAAATCTAAAAGAACTGACAAATTGAACTTTTAATATCCGTTTTGTTATAATTAGGAAAGAAAATGTTGACAAAAGACAATAAAAATAGTACTGCATAGATATTGCTTATTTTTCATATGTTGCTTGTCCTTGGATGATTTGCTCACACTTTGTGAGGATTTGCATATCAAAAAGATTCCCTATTAAGTTTTTGAATAAGCACGCCAGAGAAAATGGCTACAAAGAAGAATGAAATATGCCTTAAATAGAAAAGTTAAGCCAATTAGTACCTTTAGTGCTAAAAGATAAAAAAAACTGACTGAAAAAAGGAGGATGAAATTTCTCAGCCAAGTCGTTACTCTGTGGTTCATTATTTAAATCTTGTTAAAGTCTGCTGTCAGAACCTTTGTACTAATAGCAGCAATTTGTCTGGATAGTTCCTATAATTGTCTTTTCTCTGTGTTTTTTTTTTATTTTTTTTGTCTTTGATCACAGTGAAGCCACAGGTGAAAGGGAAGTGAAAGATCTTAAAAACATGTCAGGATATATAAAAATAACAACTTGAAGAAGTGTTGGTAACAAGTAGAAGTCAAGTTCAAAAACTGTCAGGGCTATTGATACATGTCATTGTGTGAATACATCAAAGCCTATGGTTCTACTACTCCTCTATTATGACCTATGTTAAGTAACCAGTTTTTTTGTGTGTGTGTTGTTTTTTTTACTGAAGTTTGATCTGGCCAGGTGTTTCTGTTTAGCTGTGACACCTTCCTGTGGAAAGGCCTACGGCTGAACTATTGCCGCCAATAACCTGCGGGAACCCAGAAAGGACTGCAGGACCACCAGTGCTTTGGTATGTTCTACTCTGTCATCCCCAGTCATTTGAGGTTCTGCTGGAGGTTTCTTATTTTTAAAAGAGAGTTTTGCTATCCACTGTCGCCACATGCATGCTCACTACAAAGGAATGGCACCAAAGACTCATAAATCATAAAGTATATCTAAACATATTCATGGAAAGGCTTGATTCATATTAATGTGCTTACTCCAAATTTAACTATATACAAAGCTGCCTTTTATCCTAAAATCTGGTTAATATCACCACTTTATGAAGCAAATACAGGAGAAAAGGCAGACAGTCAGGGCACCTGATCACTGTATCACGTTTTGTGCGTAACAAACACTAAGTGATCCTAACTACATCTTTAATTGCTCGTTGACACGTAATTACATGGACGTGTCCTTGCACAGAGTGAGAAATTAATCAGGAGAATCCCTGACAAATGTGTGCAGACAAAGAGATGATATGCATCCTTAATTGTGTCTAATAGGTTTATGACATGTTTCTCATCAGTGGATTATGCAAAAAAGTGGTAATTATGTTCTTCAGATGAACATCATTTAAACTAAAACAAAATGTTTTGCAGCCAATTGCCTCAGCATTTATTTATTTACATTACCGTTATCGGTATTGGCTACATATATGAAATATTATTGTTTAATTATATGATTCTACCAAGTCAAACAATAAATAATTCAGATGTCAATGTATTTTGATAAGGAGTTTGTCTTGGTATTTAAGAACCTTTAAAACTTTAGTCAAAAAATTCTGTTAAGACATTTTAATTTGTTTTTAATCCACACTATCCTGTTTCATGGTTCAGAACCAGGCTTTAAGTAGAGTTTCGAAATGCAAAAAAGGAGCAAATCAAAAAGTCAATGTTCTCCTTGAATACCTTTAAAGCTTTGACCAGCTAATGGAAAGCCTGTTTGAGTTCAAATGTCATTTTCATAAATATCAAAGCCTGTTTTTTGCTTTTGTTTCTTTTTGCATTTTGAAGCTCTGCTAACTGTGTGGGTGTGATCCAGCAGTGTGAAATGCAAATATTTGTAAAACTTTCATCAGGAGGTCAAGATTTTAACCAGGTTCAACATGTTTTTTTTTTTTTGTTTTTTTTACATATATATTTTATAAACTCCAAATTATTATTATTATTATTATTATTTTTTGTATTTGTTTAAATTTTTAATAGATGGTGCACTAAGAACCTGATTGGCACTGGAGCAGCATTCATATTTTATTCTGTCTGAAGACAGAGCATCTTGATCACAGATTCGCACACTGGGTAAATATGTGCTAAAAAAAAAACTCAAAATAAGTTTTGTAGTTTTATTGCAGTAACAGTATCCCAAACAAAACAAAAAAATCTAATTTGAATCTAAACACGTTCATCAAACAAGTAAAAAAAAAAATCTCAAATTAATGAATAAATCAATTGTTCTTAACAAAATCTAACAAAATCAACAGTGTCACAACTAGCAGCACTCTTAGCATAAAATATTTTGCAGCTGGACAATGCTAATGCTGTTTGAATTTTGTCAGGATAGCTGTGCAACAACTCTGTTATTTGTAACTAATGCAGGAATGTTTTCACCTCTATCTGTAGAACCTAAATTATCGCTTGCAGCATTGAACTCTACCCTGTCATATTGTTTTGCAGTCAAATTGTTTTCATTTTATTTATATTTACTGTTTTCTGTCGAAACCGCCAAGTAGTATTTTACCGTAGCCGCTGAAATGAGAAATGAAATTTAAATTATGTTATATTATATTCAATCATATTCTATGCCTGGTGGAAAAATGAACGTGACTGAAATAAGTGTTACGTGTTTCAAACTTCAACAGAGAGACCCAGG